TTGTCTGCTTTTCATCTCATCATCTTGGCAGAAGATTTGCACAATTTCAACATTCCTACTTATCTTCCCTGTACAGGAATAATATCAGCAGATGTTCAGCTTCACGGGTTCAAGTTTCTACAGAATCCTTCAGTTTCTCCCTGTCTAATTACTCACCAAAACATCTATCTCTATCCCATAGAAATAGAAAAAAAAGATGGCCTGCTGGTGCCCCCTTTTTAAAATGTATTCATTATGTTATTGCCAGCTCTGCTGAGTGTGGCAAATACGCCCAGTTATCTGCAAACATCTACCACTACCTTAACTGATGTCTTGTCCTAGCCTATTTTTCCTTTTCACACCTAACTCCAAATTTATTTGTGTGACAGCTTCAGAGAAACCACAATGACCTCACAAACAGGCTGTCATAGGATGTAAGAAACTGGAGGCATTAGAAGAGGGACTGTACTCTCTCCATTTCTGTTTAAGATCATGAACTACTAACAGTCTTCTAGCCTGTTACATTCCAATACAATTCAGGTAATTTAAGATACCCTTGGGTAGTTCCTTTGCTGAGATGTTTTCTCACTAAAAGTCTGGGATGGATTGAAGAAGCTTGATCCAGTTACATAGATACAGCTATTTAGTGGCATTTGAGATATCATAAGGGTATCTCAGAAACCTCTGGAAGTAGCAGGATATGACACAGGACCTATGGGAAACACATGCCATTCTGAATTGGCAGGTGGAGCTATATCTGTGGGCTTATTCATGTCTGTATTCTGCTAACTGAATTGATTGTGAAGCCACACTTTCCATGAAGAGCACTGTTCAAAATGACAAGATTTCCAAGCATGAAGTTCTGAAAAGGACAATTTGCTCTTTGGTCACTACCCCTGTGATGACTAAGATAGTTTTTGAATCCCAGGCTTCCATTGCATGGAAGTCAATCATCATCTCTAACCACTCTTCCCTCTCCATTACTTTTTGCCTTTTGACAACCCGCTGGCCAAAGAAGCACACCAAGGGTGTCCTGTCTTCCTATTCCTTCTGGCTTCCCCAAGTCTAGGGTCCATCCTATTACAGATGGCAGGAGGTGGTTTCCCTCACAGCCTGAAGCCAAATAATTTCTTAGAGCAGAGAAAGGGGGTTTGGTGCTAAAAAAAGATATGAGATCAGCCAGAAGAAACCACTGGATGTCTGGTTTAGCAGTAAGCCCACCCTGGCTGCAGAGGGGAGTCTGGTTTGCTTTTCTTATTTATTTTCACAGTGTGATCACTCTTCTCATGCAAAGTACCTTCCATTTGCAGCAGATGAAGGTCATTATCATTACAAAGCACTCTTCCCTGGATTACTGCAGCTCCAGCTTATTCTCCTGAGTATGGAAAATGACTGAGGATTCTCACTCCATAGCCAGAAAATTTGTTGCTTATGGAGCCTTTCCTGATAAAATTCTGAATCTCCCTCAGACACAGAAAGTCATATTAATATCTGTCAGGCAAAGTTCAAGCTTCTTTCCATGGTGGTGCAACCTGATGAATATTTGTAGGGAGTATCATTTTAGGTAAAATCTCCCTCAGTAACAGACACCTCCAGCATGGATTATGTGCTTACTTACCCTCATTTTACAGCTCTGCACTTGCTCAAAACCTTTCATGTGATGCTAGTCACTCTAGAAAGAGTAGCTACTCTACAGTCTTGTTTGAATATAATACTCTGTAATGAGGAACACATCAGCAGATGTTTTAAAGAAGCTGGAGGAAAAAGTTGCTGCACCTGGAAGCAAAGTAACTTGGGAGGTCAAGTAATGCTCAAGCTGCTTTTGGAGGAAGAATGCCTGCTGGCAGGTATTGGGGCTTGGACAGACTGAGGGACAGGCATCATCTGTCTCAAAACATCACACAACGCTTGCCCTGGTAAGCAACTGATTTTCACATGATGAAATAGAAAGATTGGTAAAGGCTTTTATTGGTAGTGTGATAAATGACTGAGTCCCCAAACAGGATTACAGTCGAAGTTTACAATTTATTATGTGAATTTAAGCAAGCAAACAGCACTGGGTGCGCGGGGAGTCTCTGCTCTACCAACACACACACAGTACAGGTCCTGGTTTCTGTTTATAAACTAGTTGTTAGTACATATTCATGACTATCCCGAGAGAGTGCATGCTCAATTGGCCTCCTGGAGTCTTCTCAAACTTTCTATCTCTTCTTCCTGTGAACTTTCTATCTCTTCTCCTGTGCAGACTACTGAGTAAATGCCTAAAAGCATCAGCCTAAATTTAACCCCTTCTCCTCTGGCAAACTCAGCCAGAAATCAAATCAATTCCAGATCGAACTCCAAAAAGTTCCTCCAGGAACAACACAGCTTGACAAAACATGGTAAATGCTAAGCAAACAAAATGTCCTTAACAAACAATCTATATTGTTCAGCCTAAACCATTAGTTCAAAGTAAGTATCTTTGCCCACCACCGAGCACACCCCCGGCCCGGGACCACCTGGACGCGGCTCTCGCTCTCTCTCCCACCGCCGTGCCGAATCTCTCGGCCCTCTCGGCTTTTAATGCTTGCCTATGTGTCATAGCAGCTTCCAATTCCAAATAAGCAGTATCACAAATAAAATAAGGCTTATATTAACAAAACAATATTGAGATAGATATATTGAGGTAGATTCTAACATTGCTCCGTATTGACATGAATCGGGGGAACACATTTCACAGTAGTAATAACTTTGTTAGTCTTTTTAGATAAAAACAAATGCCAGGTATACTAGTGAGACATTTCCTATTAGTAAATAATCTTTGTATCAGTTTGATACTATTAACAATCCAAGATTATACTGACATAAAGCACATTTGACAGTTACAGCTTATGACTGTTCAGAAACTAAAGCTCAATATAGAAGTTGGCTGTGTGACTGGTAAGTAGGTCATCTGTTGGGAACAGATGTGCTCTCTCATCTGCACTGCTTTGCCAGTCAGCTTTGACCTATAATGCCCTAAATGTCTTACTCTTCCTATCTAAAGGGGAGTGGGGAGCCCCAAAGGGATTAGGAAACCTTTACTGATCACTCTCAAAATGTCTTCTTAACCTGGAAATAATTTCTCACTCTTTTACCTTAAATAATCCTGATGTGTTGGCTTCTAGTTCACACAAATCGGATTCATTCTTCCCAACTTGGAAAAGAAATCAAGTCAAGGGGATCTGGTTAATGATAATTTGAATATCATCTGGGTTTCCCATTTTGATATTGGGTTCTAGATCAAATATTTACTTTTTGAGGCTAAGATGCTTTGTTTAACAGTTTCTATTTTTCATAGAGTAATTAGTGCCAAGGATTGGCAGAAAGGTGCCTTAATGTCTGTTCCTAAATATACAGAATGAAAAACTCCACGCTGTGTTTGTTTCAAATAATATTAAACATTATGTTCAGTTTTGCACATATGTAGTGACATAATTTAGGATTTCAGAGCCAGATATAGCTGCTTTCAATGTAGAAACACATTTAAAACTAAGAAAGTTATGATTCCCTCAATTTAGTGCCATTCATTCTTAAACCTTAATAGGCCTCACAAGCATTAATCCTTGCATTTATGAGAGAAAGAAAGGAAACGTTTTTTAGGGATACGCAGCATCCTCTTGCCTTCTTCTAGTTTAACACTCAATTTGCTTACAACACTAAAGCTAGCAGAAAATGCCTTGGACTTTAGATGATTTGGAACATTCTTCTACAATTTCTAAAGCAAACAAGGGATGACCAGTGATGGCCTCAGACAATGCAGTTAAAAAAAAGAGTGGCGATTCCTAGTCTGCAGACACACAGCACAATGCACTGACACCTTCTTTATAGAAAAATGAAGCCAAGCTTGCAGTCACTCTAAAGCCCTTTCCAACTAGCTTATACGTCAGAGGAGATCCACATTGCCCTTTCCAAGCTTTAGCAGATCTAGGATGGCTAACTCTTAATGTGCACACAAAACAAGAAGCATTTAATTTCTCTTGTACTGTGTGCAAGACTATTTATTATTTTGCACCCAAGTTAAAAGTTTCTTACTTCACACATTCTGCAAACCCTTCAACTAAAGCAGGCGAAGAGGGAAGTGTTTATTCCTGCACACATTAACCTAAAGGGGATGAACAAAAATTACTGAAACTTCTAAAAAAAACCCAAACCAAACATGTATCTGCATTTTGAGTAGGAAATTACAGCTACCTTCAAACACAAGGGCAATGTATGCAGAAATGCATCCAGTAAACTGCTCTCGCTCCCTCTGTTAAACAGCAGGATGGACATGGGAAACTAAAGTCAAATATCTGCTTTCATATCTTCTTTATCACATTCTTACAATTGTTTAAATTTTACCATGTTCTAATTGCAGCACAAGGAAATGTGAGGAGCATTGACAAAGCACAGCTGAAACTTTAATGTATTTATTAATGTGCATAAATTAATTAGGATGCTTCTAACACTTACTGGACAGTGATAGCTCTCTGAATTCTCTAACTAAAGGAATGCACAGCAACTGCATGCATAGATTTGCAAGCATCCCTATGTTTATCACACATCAATACAAACAGGTTTTATATAGCAAAATGCAATGTGACAGTAGGAAAAGGCCATTTACTACCAGCTCAATACCTCTTTGCATTCTTATTAGTATAGAGGTTTCAGCTCTTAGACATGTCTCTACTGTTTTTCACTCTAATTGGAGGTATATAACCTAAAGCAAAATAGGAATATTGCATTTAAAAAAACATACAGAATTTTCTGTCCAATTGGCAACAATTCTAAATGACACCAAATATGCAAGGCATCCAGTATCAGGTTTAGCTCTGCTGTTGATACTTAAGTTTTCCAGAAATAGAAAAAAAAGTCAAGGGTCTGGCTATAGGACAAGCTCTATACAAAATGAGTTTAAATAGTATAAGAAGGCTTCAATTCTCCCCTATACTGGCTGGTGGCCTTACTGTCAACAGAGCACTTGAAAGACAAAGAACTCATTTAAGCACTAAAAATCTTGCCTCTACCTTCACCCGAAGATCATCAAGTTTGTTTTCAACAAATGAAGATTTTCTGGTTTGTCCTCTCTTGTGGCCAAACTTGCATTTGTTCCTCAGGACTTGCTCATCATCTTCAACGGGTCTCCGCACATATTTGAAACGATCTTTAAGGGCCCGTTTCCATAGCACCTGCACGAGGGGAAAAAATACCTGTCATTACCAGTATCTGTCAAGAATTTGCCCCATTACTAAAGCAGGTCACTTTGTTTTATCAAACTGTATAAAGATAAAACACTAAGCAGAAAAGGACTCATAGGGTGATGTCAGCATACACTAAGGGGACTTCAGAACGGAAGGAAACACAAGCACCTGTGGTATATGACTCCACGGCAATTAACAGCTGGGCTAATGGCACTGCTGTTGTTTGCTAAGGACAATAATGATTGAACCTAAGGCTTAGATCTATCCTATATAACCAGGGCTGTCAGTGAAACTGCAGTTTTCTTTCCTTTGTCAGCTCTTACTTTGGGATGCTCCACATCGGGTCATGACACTCCGTAGTGAAACAGATCAGCTCATGGATGCCACAGAAAACTAATGGGATGTTTGGGGTTTTTCCCCATTGTTTGTTTGGTTTTTTTGTGGGTTTTGTAGTGTATTATTTTGCCTCTGCCTCTGGCAGCATCTGACTGGTGGGGCACTACGTTTCACTGGGAACCTACTGTTAAACTGGATCAATTATATTTTTCAACTGAACTCAAAACTGTGGATTTAAGGGGATCATTTAAGTAGGTCTTAGTGTTTGTAAGATACCTCAAGGTATGTAAATTGCAACTTAAAGACATTTCTGCACTGTAAGTAGATGCAGTTCCTGTTTAATGGAGCCATTCATAAATCCTTGGCAGTCAAAGACAGAGATTGTGTGATCTCACTTCTTCTGCCACACTTGTGTCTTTTTTTACTCAGGTATTGAAAAGTCACTTTTAAAACTGGATGGAAGCAACTATGTTGTGCATCCTTATGCTCCAATGACTGCTCACCTGCAGTCCCCAGCTGGACGTCCCATGGCAGGACCTAGCCATGCCAACTACTAACATGTTGGGAAGCAATTATTAAGCAAAGGCTATTGAACACATAGAATCATAGAAACAGACGGTTTGGAAGAGACCTTAAAGATCATTGAG